ATGATCACAGGCAAGTGTGCGACCTGCCCGCGCCGCCTCTTGGACGGCTGGGAAGGCGTGACCATGTCCCGCGCCGGCACGCAGTGCACGCGCTGCGTCGCCCACTAATTCGCCACGACACTCGTGGACAGGTTCTGTCGGCGTGCGGTTGCGGGTTCGAATCCCGCAACGTCACGAATTTTGCGCATTTTCCGTGACGTTTGAATATATGAAATGCATCCGCATTGTGGTTGCGGGGCAGATTGGGGCATACAGGAGACTAGTATATATATTACACGTTGGCAGATGCTTCGTCGAACGCGACCGCGCTAGCGCTGTATACAGTCACTCGATCTGCAGCACCAACTCGTGCTCAATGACGCGGAGGTAGCTGAGCATTTGGCGGCTCAAGATCTGGACCGTCTCGACGTCCATATCAAAGAGCGTTTTGTAGCCAATCTGGTCCAAAATGTCGTGGCCGACGCTGCTCTGGAGGACGTCGCCAGAGGCGAAGACGACTTCCAGCTGCAGCGCCATCCCGAGGCGGTGCATGGCAAAGAGGCCAACAACATGTGTGATGATGCCCGACGTCTCGCACCGGAGTCGCTTGGCTTGCCGAAACATGCGCTGGCGCACGTCAATGCGCACAGCGTTCGTGTGGCCCAAGGTAATGTGGTTGACCTACCACATGTGGTATCACTTCCAGATGTTTTGCTATTCACATGTGGAACTGTACCATGTGTTTGGCAATCGCGCCTTTCTGCGCTGCCGTGCAGAGCGCGAGCACTGGGAGGTTACTAAAGCTCCACTCGCTGTACTGCAGCCCAATGCAGAGACACAGGTGCCAGCGCGAGACGTAGCATTCGACATACAAGACGCCCTGGTCTTCAAAGAACGCAAAGTGCGCCATTCCGAGCTTGACGCGCTTCGCCACGTAGTAGTGCAGCGTGGGCTTGGCATACCGCAAGGGTCGAAGGAGGTCCTCGGCGCTGTTGCAATCGCTACACTAGACAAAAAAAGGTGGTGTGTTGCGCGTTTCGAAGCGGGTACCTTTTGGTAGAGCTGCCCAAAGTACACATTCGGTGTCCCCAGAACGAGCGACCGCGCGTCAATGTTGAGGTTCCGAAATGGGTGAACTTCGCGCGGGTTGGGCAGCACACGGCCACGCTGGACAATGAGATGCATGACCAGTCCTACAGACAAGCTGTGTCTTTTCTGTGTTTGCATCGGGAAAAACCTTCGATGAGCCGGTCAATGTCGCCGACGGTGATAAAGTACGACCGCGTAAGGAGCCCGAGAGTCTTGAGCTCGTCTGTCTCGAGGGTGCACTCGACGGCCGTCGGGTGGCTTGCCGAGGACGGTTCGTAGAGCACCAGTGAGATCTGAGTCTTGGTGAGCAACCTACAACAACACGTAAGTAAATGGCTAGTACTTAAGATTGCAGATTGAAGACTCGATGAGGAGCTACGTACACGAGGACAACAGCATTGGTCGTCTCGTGAAAGTGCACGCGCCGGCAAAAGAGGCGTGGGTGGTAGCTGTCGTTGTTGTTGGCGGACGACCCGGACACGTTGAGACTCGACTTGCGCGACTGGAGCTTGAGGTTCTCGAGCTTCAGCACGATGAATACCACCGTATTCGTTCAAGTGGGTCGAAGTACCGTGGTGAGAGCGGTGTTTTTGCGCAGATGGGACTGGATTTTGATCGCAGCCTTGCGCTCCATCCGCAGGCGCTTGACGGTGCGGACGGCCAAGAAGCGGCGAATGAAGCGCTGGATCGCGAGAATCGCCGCCTGCCGTCGCTGCTCGTCGTGCTGCTTGAGGAGCTCCTTGCGTTGTTTTTGCTCGACTTTTTGGAGCCGTTTGATGTTGGTAAGCGCTGCCTCGCGTTCGTAGTCGTCTTGGGTTTTCTGGAGCATTTCGTGGCGCTGCTCGAGCTCTTTTGTTCTACGTCCAATATTGTCATTCAATGTGTCGTCTCAAATTCGAACAAACTTGATCGCGTGGGCTTGGCGAAAGCTCTTTTGTGCAATGCGCCGGCGTTGCAGCGCTTGTAATTTGACGATGCCTTGTTCTTCGTGGGCGCCAACTAGAGACATTTGACTCTCAAGTTGGCAAGATGACAGTGACAAGGTGTACAATGGGGTACAAAGTGCACATTCGAGACGACAAGCGGTTTTTGGCTCAAACTGTCCAAGGCATGTATCAACCAAAAGTATCAAGATGGAAAATGACGAAATGTACCTGATACTATAGCGCCGGGGGCGGCCGTCGCCCGAATTGGGGGGCGGTAACTGCGCTTGGAGCGCTCGACGCCGCGCCTCTCGCAGCACCTCGACCTTGCGCACACTCCATACCGTGCGCACCCAGCACTGCAGTTGAACGACACGCTCGTGCATCTCAAGTGCGTGCACCAGCGTCTTTTGCTGGAGCCGCAGATGACGCTTGCGGCGTTTCTAGGGGCAAAACTCCAGATACATACGACGTGTGAGTGCGCGCACCTGAAACTCGAGGTCCGAAAACCGGTCGAGAACGTCGTAGCGACTGCGTTCAAGGATCGTTTGCACAGTGCCCGGGTCCAACGCCGCGTTCGGTGTCGTCTCAAACACAGTGTCGTCAACGGATGCGGGCGTCTCGAGCGCGAGTCGAAGCACGTCGCGGGCGTGGCGTTTCCGGATTTTGGAGCTCATGGGAGACTAGATCGAATGCTGTTGTGACGCCACGACGCGCGAACTTGCAAATCACCTTGATGATAGCAGTTTGCATCCGCAGGCTCTGGGAGCTAAAGTTGCCAAAGCTCGCGTACGACAAGTTCCATGGCTTTTCTTTTGTCGGTGGTTGGCTCCCCGGACCGAGCTGCGAGAGTGCGTCGCGGAGCGCGTCTGGGCTCTGACACAAATGCGGCGTATTTTGAATCGAGAGCACGAGGATCGTCAAGACGGGGTGGAACCAGTAGGCGCTGAAGCGCCCTTCAGCACTCTTGGCAATGGCTTTGCCTAAAATATATAAACATGTCAATCAAATGATTTCTCAACAGATTCGAGTTGCCATTCGGAGCGACAAAGCAATAGTCGACCATGTCCACCATGAGGAGGTCGTCGATGAGCTTCCGACTCGAGGTTAAGGACGAGTGTTCGTGAAACGGGACGCAGAAAAGAGGCTGGATCGTCGTATACCGGCACATGTAGACCTTGAGGTCCCCTAATGAGCATGGTGAGCTCAGACAAACGATGGTCCAAGGAGGACCGTGCTTGATAATGTCGTTGGTCTGGAACTTGAATTTGGTCGGCGATGTCTCCATCTCGATCGGTGGTGGCAGCTTGGTCGGGTGTCGCTTCTTCTTGAGAAGTTTTGCCGGCGACGCCTTGACGTACGGGCTCTGGGGCGACTCGAGCTTGCACTCGACCTATATTCCACTTAAGTAGGAGCGTGCTCATTTTAGAGCACGCACCGAGGGCGGCGACCGGACGTTGTTGCGCGGCCAGTCGCCAAACGGGCTGTGCAGGACGCCAAGCTTCTTGAGCCGGTCAACTTTTTTGGCGCGCGGTTCGAGGTCCAAAACCAGAGGCGGGAAGAGAACGCGCCGATCGTCGGCCTCAATGTCCTCCGAGTCGGAGAGCGACAGGAGCTCCTCGACGTCGTTGGCGTCGTACTCGAGCCCTTCCATCGCCGTCGTCGAAACTCCTCGGCGACCGTTTTCGCCGCCTGTCTCCGAGGTCCCAAACAGAGTGTGAAACACTGTTTCAGACAGCGTTCGTCGGCAAGGCGTTGTCAACTGCATCAGTCCAGAACCACCTTACCACGTGATGGCTCTCGATAGCAGCAGCACACAGACGGAAAAGTCATCTCGTCGATCCAGCGCCAAAGGAATTTCTGTATCGCTGCGTCCGAGAGAACACTAGCGTTGTGTCGCGTGGTGGCACTGACGGAGAGCTTGGTGTGCTCCGACCGGCCTTTCGAATCAACCGCAACACTGTGTATCCCATGCAGCGGCTAACGATGAGCTAGCCACCGTGATAGCCCCCGCTGTACTAGCTATTCCGTGCGGTGCAGAGGCTGTAGTTACGCTGGCTGCCAACCTCGACTCCAAGAGGCCAATCGACACGAGAATACATGGAACTACAAATCCGAATGGAGTGGCAATTTCCAGCACGTCGACGCGCCAAGACACGGCCGGACAGGACAGCAACCCGACCGCTGGGGTTCAACCTGCGTCGGTGTTGCCCTTGGTCCTACCTGCGACTGACCAAAACGCTGCAGCTGCACGCATCGCAGGATTTCAGTAGTCGTGCAAGCGCCATCCTTGAACCGCCGTCGGAGTCACTCCCAGCCTCTCGCCTTCCACCTCCGATGTTGGTACTTCGTTGTTGCTGACAAGAAGGATCCCGTGCCATTGTTGGGGCTCGTGATCTTTTGTTGAAATGAGTTATTAACATGCAATTATATAGTGAAGATGGTGGACTTCCTAGAGCGCTCGTGAGGTTTGGCCAGTACGTCAAGCTGAGGGCGCATGGTCAGGGCTCGGGATTGAGTTGGGAATGAGGTAGCGAGCACACCAAGGATCGGCGCGTAACTCGTGATCTTTTGTTGGAGCTTGCGTTCGATGTCGTCGCCCTGTATCATCACATTGCGCTTGTCGATCGTTCAGTCCATGGGGTGTGCTCATGATGTGCTGTAGACATGTTTGATGCCAAGTCCGGCCCATTGCGCCTACTAGTACAGTATTGCGTTGACTTACCAACCATAGAACGCTCGCGAGCGTGTCAAGTCCGCCGGCCGTGCGCTGCAGTGCCGTAATCGAATCAGGGCGGCCGCCGTCGGATAGACCGCCTCTTTCTTCGTTTGAGCGATGGGGACAACACTTCGATGAACGAGTTCCTTGAGAAAGCCTCGAGGCAAAGGCGTCGTCGTTGACGCGTGACTCACGATGCGAGCCATCGATGCACTTTGCCTTTCCGCAGCGCTCCACTCTTCACATGGTTACCTTGTCATTTGTATGCTCGTCTCCGATTGGTGGTCCTCGCCTGTCTCGTACGGGCTGCTGCCGCCGTCGGATCGGCCAGTTGGTCCTACTTTCCTCGTGTCTCTTTGCCCGCGAACTTCGCAAGAACCGTCCCTCGAACGTCACTTTTCCATTTGCGAACTTCCCGCATGTTCCAGGCCAGCGACGACGACGCCAATCCCTGCGGCTTTGTCCAAGGTCGTGACGACAACTATGACATGGCGCTGCATATCGGTGCCATCTTTATCATCCTCGCCTTCTCGCTCGTGGGGTCGCTCCTGCCCGTGCTCTCCAAGCACCTCGCGTGTTTGAAGCAAATGGCCACCATCATGTCGTATGTCAATGCGTTTGGCGTCGGCGTTGTCATTGCGACCGCGCTCGTGCACATGCTTCCGCCGGCCAACGACGCACTCAACAACGCGTGCCTCGGTCTCTCGTACCCGGGCTTGGCCAACGTCATTGCGGTCGTAGCCATCCTCTTGCTGCAGTGCCTTCAGACCGAGCTCACGGCGCGGTTTGCCGCCCCAGCGTGCGTCAACAATGACGCCGAAGCACCCACCGCAGACGTCAAGGGCGCCGAGTCGCCGTCGCACCAGTTTCACAGCCACGGCCACATCCTGACTGCGCCGTCGACGGCCGCCAACAGTCGGAAGATTTCCGTCTTGATCTTTGAGCTCGGTGTCGCGATCCACTCGGTCATCATTGGCCTCAACCTCGGTGTCGCGTCTGGCACAACGTTCACGACGCTCCTTACGGCCATTTGCTTTCACCAGTTCTTTGAAGGTGTTGCGGTCGGGTCCTCAGCGCTGCTCGCTTTCGACGAGCTCAAGGCGACGCTTTGGACCGTCCTTGGGTACACGCTGACGACGCCGCTCGGTATTGTAATTGGCATTGGTGTCTCAACGACGTACTCGCCGACGACAGCGACGGCGCTGTGGGTGCAAGGCTGCCTGGATGCGCTCGCGGCTGGCATTTTGATCTACACGGGCATTGTCGAGCTCTTGACGAACCAGTACACCAACAACCACGAGTTCCATGCCAAGTCTAGCAGCAGTCGGCTCTTGACGTACGCATTCGTGGCCGCCGGTGCCTGCGCCATGTCGATTGTCGGCTACTGGACATAAACCGGATCGTCCTTGGCGCGTTCTATCTACTCTACCACATATATATAAGAGGTTGTGTTGTTAAATGTTTCCAGCGTCGACTCCAACACGGCTATAGAACTAGAATGATTTATGATTTAACATGGCGGGGCGAGGGAATCAAAGTGGAAACAAGAGCGCGCGTGAAGTCAAAGTCAAGATGGTCTCTCTTCTAGTCGAAGTACGTGGATTGACCGAGAGGAGCCAGTGCTCCCTCGACAACGGACCCAGCAATCTTGGCAACGAATCGACTAACCGGTTAGTCGATAATACTAACCGTTTTCTGAACCGGCTACTGTAACCGTCAGGATGTTGACGACCTGATGGTCTGGCGAGTTAAGCAAAAATGTCATCGCGCTTGCGATCAGTGAGAATACGACACTAACCCACATAGGGACAAGGTGATCTTAGCAACAGGGCCAAAGAAAATGGCGAGTAAACCTAAATTCTCTCCTCGTGACGGGTTGTTGAAGTGTGAACTGAGTGGCATAGTGGTTGGGGCAGCTTGGCTCGACTAAAAATTGGCATCGATGTATGCGGCAAAGTCGTGCCATTCCACGGTGGACTGGGCGACGACGAACGAACGGCGTATCGCAGCCGAGAATTTGCCGAAAACCAGCTTGTGCATATTGATTCGTGTGATTGTTAACTGGGAAAGATGTATCTTTCGTCGGCTTGGACCTTGGCACAAGTGTTCATCGCATGTGCCGAGTACAGTACATGTACCCCACCAGCCATTTGTGTGAGAATATCAACGTTGAGCTGCTGAAATGGATCGGTTCTGGCTGCACAGCATGAAGTATCCAGTACCGCGAGCCCGTGGCCAACTCCCAAACAGCAAGCTCGGCGCTGATTCGCTCGATATCCCCGAAAGCTACTACTGCAAGCACCCGAGCGTCAATTATTCGACTGGCGCCCAGAGACGCGTGCAGTTGAAAAGAGGAAGCAGACGGCAGAGATGGACGTGGTCCTCGCCTCGAACCCGCTGACGCTGACCTTTGACGACGGCAACGTCTGCATCATGCCCATCTTTGATCTCTCTCAATGTGGTTTTTGCATCGAAGCCCGGTACATTGTCGATGGCGACCACCTCATGGAGCTCGAGACCAGCGACGGCGTTAGCTTTGGCGCCACCGTTCGCCTCGTGCACCGCACCAAGGGCGGTGAGTGCTATTACCTCCGCGGCTGCGCGCTCCAGCGCAAGCTCCGATGGTCGACCCAGCCGACAGCAAAAGCAGCGTTTCGTCTCGTCTCGCTTGAGTGCCGACGCGGCAACCTCCACCAAGACGAGCCCTTTGCGCTCGAGAGCATCTTTTGGCCGCGTTGGTACATTGGCTTTGCACGGGTGTCAACCTTGCGGGGACGTGGCACCCTTATCCTGCGGCGTAAAGCGGCCAATGCCATCCAGCTACGCGCCATGCACCACCACGACAAACCAGCTGCGTACCGGCTTCGAGCTCCGCTGCTGATCGCGGCCAAGTCGTCGCTCGCGGTCACCGAATGCGACGCCGAGGACGATGATGACGACGATTTGTTTGCATCGTTTCAGATTGCAGGGTCGGCACCAGTAGGTGTCTTGGCGTGATGTGTGCGTCATGCGTTGTTGCGCTTGATGTCGCCAACGTTAGTGTAGTGTACTACTTGATATACTCTGTGATTAACTGAAGTTATTTGTGCTATATATTTGTGGTTGCGTGGCAGCATTGAAGTTGGATGGCGAGCCGATTGAGCCGTGTAGCTCTATAGAAGAGGAAGAGTGCCGCCTATAGGTCTGTACAATACTACTGGACTTCTAACATGCGAGGTCATTTTTACGTCAGCTGGGTGTGCCAGAATTGCGTTGCGCAGTGGTGCTCAAAAGAGGTATCGACTTGTAGTTGTTGTCGTTTTTGTTGATATTGGAATGATAAAATGTCTCGTGTGACTCATACACAGCGCTGTGCGACCGGCTGGAAGGGCACTGCAAGCGCTGGACTAGCCATTTGCCGCGCCATGTTGTCTGGCGACTCGAACGCCGCGGGTACTTCGACTGCGATCGCAACCGCGTCTTGAACCACCGCCGTGGATTCGTCGTCTGAGGCAGACAAGTCGACGTCAAAGGCGTCTTCCGAGATGTAGACCGTCGGCGCATCGTTCAATTCGCGCTGTCGGTGGCGCTGCAAAGTGCAATGTCGCAGTGTCGCGTCGACGGCACGCAGCGCGACGGCGTGTTCGGTGCCGCGGCGCAGCCCAAGGACGCCAAGCTCGCGCACGGACGTTGCGGCAAAGAAACTCACGTAGAGCTCGGGCCAGTGGGCGCTTTGAAGAAAAAACGAGCCGTCGGCGTGGACTACGAGCCGAAACACTGTTTTCGAAGAGCTGGATCGGGCCCAGTTGAGCCGATGTTGCACGATCGAGCGCCCCGAGAGGTACCGCTTGGTCGACGACAATGACTCGGACACAATGCAGACGTCGCAACCCGGCGCCAAGTGGCCACGTGCAGTGGCAGCGCGGGCATTTTCAAACCGAACGGCTTCGGCGCCGTCATGGAGAAACCGACTCTCGACGACCGTCGCTCCGTTCGTCCTGTCGTCAAAGAGGACCGTCCCATGCTGCGCGTTTGCGAGCTGCAAGGTGAGCGCGACGGGAAGGCCGGCTTGTAGCATCCCAAATCAGAAATGAACGATGCCAGTTGTACCGGCCAGTGTCGCTGCCGTCGCATTCGAGACAGGCAGTCGGCGGCGGGAGAGTGTACGGTGTGCCATAGACACGAAAATGCCAGCATGCGGTTTGGCCTATGTTGGACACATTGCAACGTTCAACGACACGACGACCAAGCGCAACGGCAATTGATGACGCTCAGACACTGCTGACGAGAAATCTGAGTAGGAATTTGCTATAGGAGCTTATTGGTTCCACTTGAAACGCTTGAAACGTGCGTGAAAATAGTGCTATTCCAACGCTGCGCAATGTCTTAAACTCGGTACCACGCATTGATGACGCCAAATTTCAGCACCCCGCGGACATTCTGGGCAGCAAATATGTATGTACAGTGGGTATTTTGCGTGCGTAGGAAGTCGAAACGACCTTTTCACGAAGGGGCGTGTCTTGCGACCCATCGTGGAGCTAGCATTCTACATCTCGACTGCTACTGAGCAACCCACCTCATCTCACCCGAGGTCTTGGCAGCAATGAAAGGCCATTACCCCTGAGCAAGCTCGCCATGGCGAAAATGTTTGTTCACGCAAGATGGCGCCACGAGGCAGCGACAACAATTTCCGAACTTGAAGTAACGGGGCTTCCGCCGATGGAATAAATCCGACATTGTCTACGAGGCCTGTACCACGGTTCATGGCGCCCTACTCGACACGGCGTGGCAAGAACCTCGCAATTCGCCCGGACTTTGGGTTAGTTGCTCTGTGGGCGATCCACGATTTTTAGGTGGCGCATGCCACCGGCACGATTTCAAAGTCTTGTGCAGTCTCAGGCCAGGGGACGTTATTCCAACCTTGACCCGAACATGGCATTGGCAGTGCTGACAGCTCGCTATACCTGATCTACAAAGCGGTGTCCGAACTTCCTCGTGACGCGGCTCCTAAATGCTCATATAACAGCATGACCACGAATGTAGAAGTTGTCTATATATGATACTCGTATTAGCAGGCGCTAAAGCGTTAGTCGCCGCGGCAGCCAAAATGCTTGTCGTTGATGTCGGCGTAGTG